AACAACAAATGTTGGAGAGGCTGTGGAGAAAAAGGAACCCTTCTCCACTGCTGGTGGGAATGCAGATGGGTGCAACCATTATGGAAATCAGCATGGAGACTCCTTAGAAAAGTTGGACTGGAAATCCCCTTTAAACCAGCTATTCCTCTACTGGGAATTTTCCCAGAAGGTCTAAAAACATTATATCATAGTAATATATGTGTGCCTATGTTTGTAGCAGCACAATTTGTGATAGCCAAATCGTGGAAACAACCAAGATGCCTGTCACCTGAGGAATGAATGGAAAAGATGTGGTATTTTTATACAATGGAGTATTACTCAGCTATAAAGAATGATAAACTTGAAGCCTTCATATTTAAGTGAATGCTGCTTGAAGATATACTCATAAGTGAAATAAACCAGAAACTAACCTAATGGGAAAACACATAAAGTTCTTCTAGATCATTATCACTTAAGCAATATCGGGCACATCAAAAGTTCCTAAGAAACTTCTGTTGCTACAAAGATCTGTATTTTTACATGGCTCCAAAGAAAGTTGACTGAATTTTTTTAAGGCAGCATCCATGTGATTACTGTGCCAACAAACACCCTTGGAAGAACATTTGTCTATAGGAACGTAGTCCTAGTAACTAAGGTGAAGTAACACAAACAGAACTAATTTAGCAATATGATTAATAATGGTTTTTCTGCAGAAGATGCCCTAAGCATCAACAGGTTATTATGTAGGCAGGTCCTGGAGGGCAAGGCAGAGCCCAGTAAATGCCTTCACAGTGAGACCTTCACATTTATAACTCCTCTCCGTTTTCCTTTTTGTCTAATATCTCCAAGGCAACACTAGTAGAGGAAAACCCAGGAAACTGGAACTGTACGGTACATTCTGTATATGCTAGAAGCACTGACAAACTACCTGTTACTATTACTAGCTCTATTTCTATTCTCCTGTTTCTCTCCTCCTCCTCCTCCTCCTCCTCCTCCTTCTCTCTCTCTCTCTCTCCCTCTGCCTCCTCCAGGAGATACCTGTCCATTCAAGTTATCCTTCTCTCATTGTTCATTGTCTTTTCATTCACTATAAACAAATACTGTAAGTTCT